TTGCAGTCCCTGCAGAAGGTTATGCCAGTTCTGCTTGATGAAGTTTGTGGCGACTGTCTGCTGATGCTGATGCAGGGCAGCCCACATCTGAGACATTACACTGTGCACAGGAAACTGACTACGTCTGGACTTAATGGGGTGACCTTGACTTTACCTTGGAAGCCGTTTAACGTCGACTTGATGAGACATTTGTCCTAGCTGGGGCTTGTCAAGTTCACATGTATCCAGCATTTTTTAATGGAAATGGCAACTTCCAAGTGTTAGATTGTTGTTGCTGGTTTACCGTACTACACAAAAGCAAAAGTGACTCCTAACAATTAAAATGTCAGCTCTGGTCAAGTTAGCTAAATACAATTTGTTTGAGGCCAATACCAATAACATAACTGATAATATTAATCCTGCAAATGCAAAAAATATGAAGAGGAAGATAAATACTATTTTTTCTTTTTCTTTGCTTCTGCTTCTTTTTTGTCTTTTTCTTTTTAGAATATTTGGTTGAAATAGACTTTCTCTCTTTGCACCGGTACAATGGAGTTTTTTTTTTTTGTCTAAGTTTGTGTGGTTTGGAGTGTGTGTGGTTGTTATGTACTACTGGGTTTTTGTTTACTGCTGACTGTTGGGCAAACTGCCCCTTGGAGATAATAAAGATGACCTTACCTTACCCTACACAAAGAGCATCTGTAGGCCACGGAAACCATTAAAGTACCTTCAGAATATTGTTGAGGAAGGGTTGAAGATGTTGACTTTTTTAGTTTACATTTGACTTGTTCAGCATGTGCTTGAAAAACGTACTGCTCCACAGTTTTTAGCGGATTCTGTTGGGCTAGAGAATGACAAGCAATGTTAACTTTCGTTGAGTAAGAAGTCACGCTCTCTCCGCTGTGTGTTGCTGTGAATGTGTGTGTGTGTGTGTGTAAACAGTCAGCGACACAGACAGCAAAGTAGAGGACAGAAAAACTGAGAGGCCAAAATCACCACGAGTGGCGTCTCTTGTCCGCAGCCATGCTCCACATTATCAGATGTAATTATCGGCTGAAATTCCATTATCAGAACAATAACAGTAATTTAATTTTCTTGCTTATCAGGTAATAATATATCGGCCACCGATATATCATACATCCCTAATCAAATGTACGTATCCTGTAACTGTGGCTGTCTGATTCCACAAAACATGCCATTTATTTTCCCATCAGATGTACACACGGAACGCACAAGAAACGAAAGACATCCTGTTCTGTATAACTCACATGTCAGTTGTCTCAGTTTCTCCTGTCTAATTAAAAGGACTGTAAAGAATAACGGTTGTTTGTGAGCACTAGGATCTTATTAGATCTCATGTTACTTGTTATTATGATATCACTGTCGCTAATAACACCATTATACTCACCAAGGTAATTGCTGAGATCTCTGAAAGTGCTTAACTGAAGGTGAATTGTGAAACTGTGACCTGTATCCTGCCCTGTTAGACTCAAGCAATGTCGCTGTGTTTCCAGATCTCAGCAATTACTTAGAGTACAATGCTGTTAGAAATTATGACCAAAACTACAAAAAAAAAAAATCAGCAATATTTTAATTAACAGACATTGTTCTTTAATGTGGGAGATCAATTTATGAGCTTAACCTAAAATCCCTTTTGATTTAAAGAGCAAGCACTTCTAATACTGTGTTTAGTTACTTCATATACTTGAGAGGCAGACAGTAGCAGAAAGACCTTTTAAGACTGAGTAGAAACAGACAAGACAGAGAATGGTATATTTATACAAGCAGCATTTGAGTGCATTATTCATTTTGTATTTGGCTTTCCTGATTTTACAGTCTCCATGGAGATGGTTGTTAGTATGTCAGGCATGTAGGCCCTCCCACTAGGCCAGACACAACGTTTGGAAACAGCAGCTCTGCCTGACATATGTTCACGTGAGCATGTGTTTTTTTTTGGTGCACGTGCATTTGAGAGTGTACATAGGTTTGTCACACAACTGTTTCTGAAATGTTGTAGATGTACGTTTTTTTAATTAATTTTTTTTAAAGGTAATGTAGAATCTTGATGCCTTTTAGCATACAAACTTAAGTCAATTAGCAGTTCTTGTTAACTAACTCTCAACAAGGGATAGGTATGTCTTGAACTCTGACCCAGTGGGTTGTAGACTGCATATGTGCATATATGTTTGCTTGCATGTTTATACGTATTTCTGAGAAACAGACAGTCGGAGGCAGTATGTTTGTCTCCCTCTTGGATGTGTGTGTTGGGAAATACTGTGTGCGTGTGTGTAGATGTAGACTGTATGTATTATGCAGACCTAGGAGAGCCTTGTGCTATAAATAAAACAGGGCTGCAGTGTGCTCACTGGCGGAATAATCTATCTGACACTATGGAGAAAGGAAGAGAGAGAGAGAGAGAGAGAGAGAGACGAAGGGAAGGGAAGCGACAGAGAGAAGAGAGAGAGAACCAGATGGGAATTAAAGACAGGTGAAGATGGAGGGAGAAGAAAAAATAGAAACTACAGAAAAGGAAGGAACAGGGGCAAGGACTGAGGCAGAGAGAGAGAGAGGAATCAAGAAGAGTGGCTCGTCCACACGGCCTCTAGCAGAGGTAGTTAGCACCATGACACAACTGAGAGTCATGTTCAAAAGGGCAGTAACGTCTTTCCCTAACATCTCCTTGGGTTATGTGCCACCCATGCTTGTTTCGGTCCCTCTCGTCTGCAAGGAATACGCTGCACTTTGTTTTGTTTGTACTTCTCACACCTGTGTTAAGGACATTTAGCGGGCCCTGTGCACATTTGTCATCACGTAGAAGTGCTTGTGAGGAAAACGTCAAGACACCAGTGAAACCAAGTGTCACTATTTCACGGACACTGTTGGCTGTAATAATGCAGTTGTTTGTGAATCTGCACACCTTGCTAGTGTTCATCTAAAATTTTACAAGAAATTGCACAATTTGTCCGATGCTTGATCAAAAATGCAAAACCAAAACCTCGACTGATTGCGATGGAATAGATATGACCATAATTAAGAACACAGTTGACTGCATACTCAAACCACTTAGCTACATTTGTAATCTCTCTTTTAGCACAGGAGTTTTCCCCCCAAAAAATGATGATTGCAAAAATAATTCCCTTATTCAAAAATGGAGATAGACATATTTTCAATAATTACAGACCAGTTTTGGTGCTTTCCCAGTTTTCCAAAATAATTGAAAAATTATTTACACATAAATTAGACACGTTCTTAGAGAAAAACAATTTACTTTATCCACACCAATATGGTTTTAGGTCAAATAAGTCAACCTCTGATGCACTGATACACTTTACTGAAGAGATACATAGTGCTATTGACAATAAGCAATATATGGAGACTGTGTTTTTGGATTTACAGAAAGCAGTCAGTACTGTTAATCATAATCTTTTATCATCAAAATTACATAACTATGGTACAAGGGGTCATATTCATAAATGGTTAGAGAGTTATTTAAATAATAGACAACAGTATGTTCAATATTATAACTATAATTCAAATTACAAAACAGTTGTATGTGGCATTCCACAAGGTTCAGATATTGGACCAAAGCTCTTTAATTTGTTAATTAATGATATTTATGAGGGTACCAGTAATATGAATCTTTTATTATTTGCTGATGACACAACAGTTTTCAATTCTGGAAGCAATTTAAATAAATTAATAGTGGATGTTGCGAGGGAAATGGTTAACTTAAAAAAATGGTTTGATCAAAATACATCACTTTTGAATTGGGGCAAAACAAAATACATGATATTTGGCACAAGGAAACATGATGAACATGAAAAGATCATTGTTGATGATATCAACATCGAAAAGGTCTCTGAAATAAAATTTTTGGGTGTAATGCTGGATGAGAGACTTAGATGGAAGTCTCATATAGATTACATAACAAATAAAGTGAGCAAAAGTATTGGTATTTTATTTAATGTAAAACAGGTTCTGGATGAGGCATCATTACTTCTTCTTTATTCCACATTAATTGTTCCTTATTTTACGTACTGTATTGAAGTGTTTTCTTGTTGTGATGTACAACACAATGGGCACGAAAAAAAGCTAAAAACATGGATGAATAAATAAAAATAAGTTCTGCCGAAATAAATTCTGCCAAAAAATATTTACCTTCAAAGACACTGTGTGTGTATGATCATAGATATTGAAAGGTATTTGGGTAAAGTATTTGTTGTTTGAGAACCTTTGGATTGGACTGTGTGAGTCAAACCAGTGAAACCAGTGGCTACCAGTTTATCCAGATTTTCCATACAGGTCAACATGCATTATATCTTCATTATACCATCAGACCTTGCCTTGCCAAATGTAATTCAAAGTGTCAATTAAATCATAGTAATCTACTGTATGTGTCTGCTGCATTGTGTGTGTTTGTGTTGGTGTATATTTATTTGTACGGGTCCATACGAGCATTGTGTTGAATTTTATGTTCTATATTTTTGTAAAATACTAATTGTATGCAAAGATAAAGTGTGATTTCTGAGCACATGTTTTACATTATTTCTGTTCAACCAAATGTACAGCTATTGCCCCAATATGACCGTGAGATGTTTTTAGGGAGTTACAATGGAGCAGGATAGTGGAAATACTTGCGTACCTCTTACACTGATATTTATGTAGAGAGAAATCATAGAAGACACAATTATTAGACTGGTACAAATTCAGTAACTCATTATTTTTGCGTTAATTATGCTGTTTAGGGAAAAGCAGTAACGAGGTGGACATGGCACTCATAATAATGAGAGTCCAATTATAACCACACAAACTACCCTGCGTTAATCGTAGCTGTCTAAATCTGTGTATTTTCACAATCTTTCTTCACTAACTCGAAGTGAATATCTACTTACTTTATTTTTAGAAAAAAACCCAACATTAATTTTAAAAAAAAAACAACAACAAAAACACACACACACACACAAAAACCCCCTGCCCATTGAGTTCACGTTTTCCTCTCATTTGATTGTTCTCCCTGCCAGGTGATGGAGTTGAAGGGTCAGATGATCCATGTGCCCGAGTCCTGCTCTCTGATGTTTCTGGGCTCTCCACGTGTTGATAAGCTGGAAGAGCTGATGGGCAGGGGTCTCCATCTGTCAGATATCCCCATCCATGATGCCACGCGGGACGTTATCCTGGTGGGGGAGCAGGCCAAGGCCCAGGATGGCCTGAAGAAAAGAATGGACAAACTCAAGGTAAAAGGGTCGCTCGTGGATTTTGGATCTATTCGTAGCTGCAGAGCACTGTATTTAAAAACTAATTTCACTTTATTGCACACGTTTACCATTGTGAAAACGGAACAGAGGCTGGTCAGATTATTTGTTACAGTGTGGCTTTTGTTGTACGTGAACATAAGATGTTTCACAGGAGGGAACTGTTTGACCAGCATAGATGCATTTAGTATAGACTGGTCACATATTGCAGGCACTCTTTTACAAACAAGCACCAGCTTGTGTCATGACACAGGTCATACTGGTAAAATGATTTGTTGTTAGGTCAGGGGGATTTCATTACCACTAATCCCCACCAGCTACGAACAGTAAAAACATACACAGAGTGCATTTAGGTGTCAGCAACAAGAAAGTGCATAAGGTAGCAGCTTCTCACAATCCACTGGTGCCCTGTGTTGCTTGCATGTGCCACGAGGTCAGCAGTTGTTTCTTGTGATCTCAATCATGCACTTAAAGATGAGGCATATCACTTATTGTCCATTACAGTCTCAACAAAATGAGTTAAGCTATCACGCCACTCCCCTCTTGTCCTCTACTCTTTGTCTGGAGCTGCCCACTGACAGAGTCATATTAGGGGAGATTAGAGACGAAGCAGAGGTCCAAAGATCTTTTACTTTGCTGTTATTTCACCAAACGTTACCAAAGAATATATATATATATATATATTACTTATAACTGTTTATAAGCCCAGAACGATTCCACTGATTAAATGTCCTGCCTCATTTTTACAGATTTGTCTTTTTTTTAAATGTTACATGTTTGAATAAAAAACATCCTTGTGGTGCTATTGAGGAAACAGCCACTGACGGATTCAGGTATTTTTTTATAACAACCCAGATATGTGGTATTTGCTACCAATAACACTGAAATTTCTCATTTCTTGATGACAAATTTGATATTTAAAAAAATCATCAAATAACCTCAGATTAAGAAAGGTTTCCTGTACACACAGTGCGCTAACGTGTCATATGTTTACAGACTGGTAGTGGTCGTGTATGAGCAGCACAGACCTAACTGTTGAGTGCTATTGCTCCATTAACCTAAGCCCGCTAATGCTAGCTGAACATTGTGTTTGGAGCATTGCTACTATGGGTGCATCTTTCGCAATATCTGTAACATTTCAGGACATACACATGTTGATGGTGTTTTTTTAAAGTAGCCTATAGTTAACAACTGAAGCTTGTTCGCTTTAAATTTGGTGTACAGATCAGGATGCTTGTCTTTGAGGGGCTCTGATAGGTTTGACATGTTTACTTTCATTCAAAGTGCTCTATTCTGCTTTTAGCTGTCTATAACTTGTTCTCGATCAACTGAAAGGCAAAAATGTATCCATGCACAACTTATTTTTTCTACAAGTGTCAGCAGACCTGCTGCTGCAGTTGTTGCACATGTTGTTGTTATGGTCCAGTATCTACACTACCTTTTGGTACCATAAAAAAACAAGTACTGACACATTGTCAGAATTTCAGCATCAGCGTGTAACATCTCTAGGTGAGACCTGTGTTCCTGAATATTGGCATCCAATCAAAATGACAAATCACAGCATGAGACAACTCACTGAAGCAAACATGCTAAATCCATGGTACTTACGAGTTAAATATCTGTGTTGAGTGTGTAAATCCATACTGGCTGGAAGAATGTGTCTCCTGGGATTTGCTCTTATAATTTGAATTTAAAGTACCCTTGAGCAAATCACTGAGTCTTGACCCAATCCTATGAATCTGCTCATTGCATCACTCTCTCTCACTGCAATTACTCCCCCAGGCCACTGTTATAAATAGCTATATCTTAGTCAACTTGCCTACTTGAACAGTGGCATAGCACTGCATCAGACAGACTTGGCATAAAGAAGCTAACCCACAGACACAAATAAACATATACAGATACACACAATCAAAATGACATCACACAAAAATACGTTTGCCGACACCAGCAATTTTAATTTGGTGCAGTACTCCCACATCTCAGCATCGCTGTCATCAGTGCCTTCATCAAAGCAAAGCACAGCAGAGAACAAACCCTCCTAATCTCCCTCTCTCCTCTCTCAGGCCACATTAGAGCGGACTCATCAGGCGCTGGAGGAGGAAAAGAGGAGAACGGTGGATCTCCTTTATTCCATATTTCCGGGGGATGTGGCACAGAAACTGTGGCAGGGTCAGCCAGTGCCCGCTCGCAAATTTGATGATGTCACCATGCTGTTCTCGGACATCGTGGGTTTTACCGCCGTGTGCGCCCAGTGCACGCCCATGCAGGTCATCTCCATGCTAAATGAACTTTACACTCGCTTCGACTACCAGTGTGGCATTTTGGATGTTTATAAGGTCAGTAGACAAAAAGATGTGCACCTACCTCATGTGATGTAGTAAAACCTGTTGCGATATTGGGGCAAGATTTTCTGTGAAACTGTAAAAAAAAAAAAAAAAAGAAAAAAAAAGTGATATGTCAGAGAGGGAAAGAGAGGCAGCAATAACTGCAGTGGCCTTACTGGCTAATCTGTACTCCTCTTGAGAATGAGGTAATCATAATTGTTTTCATGAAGTGACAGCTTCCCAGAAAGTTAGTCCTCATTTCTCGGAGTCTTTAAAGTGTTACCAGCTAAACCTTTCCGGGGTGTGTCACTGTCAATTTGTACTGGATTTGTGTGCGTGTGTGTGTGTGTACACTGTGTGCTGTCATGTGTGGGTGCACTTGTGTTGTGGAAAAAGTAACTGATTAATGGCCGGTCTGTGAGAGCTTAACAACGATGTGTCAATATTGTCCATCTGACAGTGTGGCTTTGGGCCTAGTTACAGTCATCACTGTGGTCTGCTATCTTTCCCTCTTTTCATCCTTCCTCTCTATTACCAGATTAGTTCTTTTCTATTCTTTTTTTACTCTTTCCACCTTTGCTTCTCTCCATCATCACCATTGCCATCATCTTTCCTCTCTATCTCATTACCTCAGTTAGCGTGACAACAACATGTAATTATCACTTTTCTATGAAAATGTGCTTTTCCTGTGGTATTTCAGTTCTCAGAAATGTCACATATTAGATATACCGCGAAATGGAAGCGGAGATACAGTGAGGAAGGTAGAGAGAAATAGAGTTTATGTGCATCGCAGTAGAAGTTTGTGTGTCAAAGAGAGATAGCAGGAGCAGGAGGACATGGTGAGGAGATTGAATCACCCATATGTCGCCATTGTCATGGTTACTGTCGAAATGATTTAGCCGTTGGCAGGCCTTAATGAGAGCAGTTTGTCTCCTAGTTTTCTTTTCTTTTTCTGCTTCTCCTCTTGTGCTATCTTTTTTTTTTCAAGACCGTCATCTGTCATGACACGTATCTCACTCCTTCATCTGGAGATATACCAACGCGTCCATGAAAGTGGCTCTTCTCGTTCGCTTTATTCACGTGATACTTTCACATGTACAGGAGGGGAGACTTACTACTGCTGTAAACTGTGGCATAAAAGCTGTAAACTGGGACTATGAAATACTTGGCTTTATGGCTCAAATCATACTTTATCTGTGCACACAGCTGCTGCGACAGTTTTGGAAAGAGCTCTGTACACCATTTACCCTCATTACTAACAGATTACTTGAGAATAAAACCTCTGTTAGTGTTATAACCAACCGATAAGGATTGGAGAAGCTTTATTGAAATGAAAACACAACAGCAGCCCCTAAAAAATGCACAGCAAAGCACCATTCAAGCGTTTTTGTTTTTTTGTCCCTTATGTTTTGGCCAGTCCACTATATTTATTAAAATAGTTTTAAAAGGAACCAATTCAGAAAATGTCTTTTGGATATACACTGTTGCCTCTAAAATTGGAATTAAATATTATTTTACCTCTTCTCATGATATGATTGTGACAATGTGATTTATTCTTAATAGATAAAGTGTATAACTTCTCAACACTTCATTGATATCACAATATAAGTACAATACATATCACAATCAATCACAATTCATTTTCGCATCCTGTGTATTCAGGCTTAAACAAAATCGGAGTTATTGAACAATAGGATTGAGGGTTTTGTTTTAATTTTTCAACCTTGGTCACTTTAACAGGACACACATACTCAAGGGGATTTCATGCATGTCCAATATTACTCTTTCAAGTGTCACTCAGTCACTATTATAATACATTGAGTATGACCACCCCTGACCAGTCATCATGACATACTGTCCACCAGCTTGTTGATGGTGTCAATGGGCAGGACGTCCCACTCTTCAGTCAGATCCTGAAGTCAGAATTGGTTTCACCTGGTAACTCGGACTCAGTATGTAATCATTGCACCTGGTCAGAAGTGATTACTGATGGGTATAAACAGAAATAAAAAGAGGAATGTGTCTGAAAACAAAATTATTCCAACTTTATGGTCAACAGTGTACTTGGGTAAGTTGATCCAACCATCTTTACTCACCAATTCATCACTGAGGCAGACCACTTCTCTGACCTCTCTAGTCTTTGGTAAATATGAGCTTTGTAATGTCATGTTACCAACAGTTTTTATTTAGTCTATCTCACAGTGGAAAAGAATATTTGCCACTTAGCAGACATAAATTACCTTAAGATGACTCTAGTACTGTACAGTATGGCACACGTCTATGTGTGAGTCCATTCATGGTTCCAAATAAAATAAAATTAACCCACTTATTTTGCCTTTTACAAAACACTTTTAAAAGTTTAACTGATTATAGAAGCATCAAAACATGTCAGGAATTAGTGGACATGGTTGTATTGTTTGTGGTTGGGCTCCTCAGAATGGGTCAGCAGCAGTGAAAGGTGCTGTAAGTGGGATTACTGAGATCCTCTCAAATGCTAACCAACTCTTACAGTGAAGGATGTAGGCCAAGAGAGAGAAACAGACAGATACTTTACTTCTTATATCGAACGAGGAATGGAGGAGTGCTTTTAATTTTCCACTACTCAGAAGCTACTTAGTTTCACATATCAGCTTATACTCACAGCAGCCACACTCAATTTTACAATGATTCATTCATCTCAGTTCCCACCCCTCTTCTTCCATTTCTCACACAGATCGAAACAATAGGTGATGCCTACTGCGTGGCCGGAGGGCTTCACAAGAAGGTTGACAGTCACGCAAAACCAATCGCACACATGGCTCTGAAGATGATGGAGCTTTCTGAGGAAGTGCTGACACCTGATGGGAAACCAATCAAGGTGAGTTTTCATTCATCCTTCACCACGCAGGTGTGTGAGGCAGTTGGGTAGTAGCCAAGGTCTGCAGTGCTTTTGTTGTGTTGTGTTTTTTTGTTGTATTGAGTGAAACGAGAAGATCCAGATGATTTCCGAGCATTTATTTATTGAGCATGTGGCTTGTTAGCAGTGTTCAGGGATCTGTATGAGTGTTTGCTTTGTCTGTGTATACATTTTTTGTTCTGCATCCGTAACCTTATCGCTGAATACCTTTTTACATTTACATTATCTGTGCAGTCATTCATCTCTTTTTTAGTAGAGAACGCTGTCTGTAACTCCAGTTGAATGCACTGTTTATTGTTTTTCTTTGACTCCTGTAAAGTATAGCTACGTCTTTGCCTAAGTGCGCATGTAAATTCAAATGTGGGAGCAGTTTTGTTGAACTGGTTATTATCAAACTAACTTAGTCTGATCTGAACTTCCACAGTGAGTTTTTGTTGTTGTTTTTTTTAACAAATGATCCCCTGATAATGACTCATTAGACTGTTTGTCCCTTATTCAACTTGTGAAAACACTTTTTTTTTCTTTTTCCTGACTTTGTGGTGTCCGTAATTAAATGTGTATGTAGTGTCATCAATCAATCAGTCACCCGCTGACTGAATCACACATATTCTGTTGTCTCATTATCTGTAGTTACTACATAACAGTTTGAATAATGGTCAAAGTCATTAGGCCTCTAAAGAAATCTTTTAAAAAATTGCCAAAATTACACAATTTGTCTGAGCTGCTAACTGTAGAATCAGAAAGGATTGCTGGATTTTAAACTCTACGACTGTCCTTGAACTACTCATCTCTTGACATACCATTCTGTCAGGGAAATTAACTATTATACATGTATCGTTTTCACAGTATTAGTAACACCAGGAGACATTTAGAAAAAATGTGGTACATGGTGATTTCAGGTTTTTAAAATTGCTATGAATTAAGTAGTCAAAGAAATCCAACTTGTTATGACATTAGAACTTTGTTATAAAGATATTTTTGAGTTGTAGACAAAGTTGTGCTGTTTCCATTGTGGTGCAGGACTTTATAGTGCAGTAAAAGTGGAGCCACGGTTAGTAAAAATGTGACAGCAGCAAAAAAAACAAAACAAACACCAACAAAAAAATAGACACTGCTTTAGGTTCAGAGAGTTAAATATATGGCCTTTGTTTTGTGATGCAGTGCAGATGTTTATTTTCCCTGAAGCTTCATTTGCGTAATATTACATTTTTAAAAAAAGATATTAACTACTTCTACTTCATCCCTCCTCTGCAAACCCTAAGAGACTGCGTAGTTTTTGTGCACCGTTCACTAAGCTGCCACTTCACTATGGAAATGCGTTTCTTTAGAAGTTTAGTGTCTTGCAGCTTTTCCATAAGCAACCTTGTATTTGTCCTTCATTGCATATGTAAATAATTTTAAACATTTTGACTCTGATGGAGAATTGGACCAAAGTTAGTCAGAAAACTGAACAGATGAATGCATTATTTTTGAGACGTTAGTGACATCTACTATGCATTGCTAAAAGATTTGTTTGGCGTGTTACCGCTCTTGAGGCAACCACTAAAGATGTTATTTTGAGGTCAGTGAATTGTTCAGTCGCTTTGGGGTGTAGATTTGTACTTAGATTTTATATTGCAAATATTCATCATGTAGTTATTGTTTTGGGCTTATGATCGATTACCACATTGATTTGGATGCTCAAATGCATTAAGAACAAGATAGATATTTATTTATATGTGGTGTGCATTTTAGTAAAGACCTAACAACAAAACAGACACTATAACACCTAATTGCATATGTCAAAAATCAAGAAAACTCCATAGTGAATCATTCATTTTTCATTACACTTCCAGTAGTTTTACTAGGCCAAGTAGGAGAACAGTGTGGTAAGAGTGAGAGAAACTGCGTAACACAGAATACCTATTTTAGTCTTTGGTGCTAATGGATCAGTGGAGTGTGTTTTTATGAAACGAGGAAAGCGACATGGTGCATCTTAATAGTATATGTATGTGTTTGAGTTCTACTTTTCTCCACCAGCCAGCTGCATGAATCAACAGTGGGGCTTTGTGTGCCGTGTACCTGCGAGTCCATTGTTGTTTCTTAATGTCCATGTATGTGGTAACAGTGGGAGATGATTATATGCGGCAGTGTGGGCCATGTGGATGTGTGTGTGCGACGTTTTGTTCTATTAGGCACCATAATGCATCAGAGTGTGATGTGTGTGTGTGTGTGTGTGTGCAGTTGTTGCTTCTAGATTATCTAAACTGTGTCAGCCTATTCTACTTTCTCCTCATCTTTCCTGTTCATATTTCTTTTTTGTGTTGTATCAGTATGGATGTTTTTAGCTTGGTTTACTTTTGCATGTTGGCAGTAGTACATTTAAAACAGTTGTATTTCTAGAGGAAAAACATTCGCCCCATATATCAGCTGCAGTTAAACAGTCAGTGAAGATAAATAATGCTCGAACTGTCTGCTTTTCATCACAATAGCAGCTTGTGGTGTCGCGTGCGTTGACCCACCTTCAGACGGTTATCAGGCACTATTAACCTTAAACCCATGTCATCTGCGGAACTGCGTTTAGCGGTATTTTATGTACCTTTTGAGTGGCTATATTTTTAAATGTCAGACATTAGAGAGACAAAGAAAGGAAAGCTGCACTGCCAAAAAAGATGAGTATAATAAGTAGGAAGGGAAGGACGGAGGCACAACAGAGGGAGTTGAATTTAAAGCGCTCTTGTTAATTCAGTAGAATAAAAAAAGAACATAGGATATGATTTATTTATGTCTATCCTTAGTCCAGTCTCAGTGAAGGTCACCCAACACTCTTAGGATGCCTCAGTAGAACCCACACATGTAGTACAGCAATGGAGAATGACATTTAGAACAATGCTGGTGTCAAGCCACGTCTTCTATTTCAGTGGCTCAGTCAGATCCAGCGACGGATGAGGATTTATTTTATTTATTTTTAGCTGTGAACAAATACACAGTTACTTCTGCTTGAGTAACATCTGCTAAAAACTCCACTGATCTGCTTGTTAAGGTAATAAATTAACCCTCCCAAAAAATAATGAAGCTACATATCTATGACAAAGTGAAGCAGGTTTTGGTAATTTAGAAAGCACCGAGAACAGACACGTCGTTGGTTTTGATCTTGTAATTTGTCGGAGAGGAAGAAGAGAAATATAGAATATTGCCTGGCTGAACCTGCTTTGATGTTTGAGAGAACATTGCAGAATGATTTTTCCGACTTCCAGTTTTGATCTTTTAAAAAATATATATACATGACACAGATCGGAACAAAACCTGTATGTGTGAGAGAAGCTAAGACGAAGAGGTGCCGGATAACAGACAGGACACTGTTCTGTGTATGCTGTGCTCCTAACATTGTCCATTTGTCTCAAAATAGAAAGGCCTTGCCAAGCATTTTTGGCCTGCTCTCTTGCTCTTCCACTTTCTCTCTCTGTTTTTCCTCTTCCCCTCTTTATCTTTCGTTCCCCCCTCCTCTCTCTCCTCCGCAGCCTCTCTCTCTAACTCACTCCTTTAATTTTCCACATTTCTTTCTTCTCCAAATTCTTATCCTTGTTTTTGCTTTTTCTACATTTTGCACTCTCCTCCTTATTTCTCTTCATGTTGGTATAACAGAGCGTTATAGAGATATTCAACACTTCAGCATGATAAATGCTGTTCAGTGAGTGCACTCAGCTCCAGCCAGTGTTGCACTGTTATGCAAACTAGCATGAGAGCTGTGACAGAGAACTGAGAGAAAATGTTTAGTGAGAGAGAAATGGGAGAGCGCGATCCAGGAACACGGAGAGATATATAGAGGAGTCAGATGTCAAGAGAGAAACACATATAGAAAGCAAATATTGTAAGTTGTTTTCATCTGTATTACTGCTTCAGTTTCAGGCCTGTGGCATGATCTTTATGTATGCGTGTGCTTGTGTGCGTGAGTGGGTGTATGAGTAGGTGAGCAGGTGCGAGGGATGTAGTGCTTGTAGTGCCCAAACTTCAAAGGTTTTTTCACCAAAAACACTGCAGAAGCTGTAGTGTCTACTATATATGCTCAGTTCTACACCCTCTACATGCATGCTTGTGTTCACATCAGTTTATTGTTGTGTTTATGTGCGCTTGTGTCCACCAGAAGTACATTACATCCGTGATAACTGTATTTTGGATTCAGAACTTGTCTGAGACTTGTCATGCTGATGTGAGGGTATTATGGAAATGGGTATACAACAGTACCAGATTAGCCAATAAATTCTATACTCTACCCCCATGTACTGTACTGTAGGGGTATGGCACCATGTGGAATTACATATACGGTGAGCAGAATTGTTATATAATTATTGTACATGCATTCCAAAGATGTGGCTTTTACCATTACTTAACATCAACAAAGCAATGTTGCATCTATCAATAACCTAATTTTTCATATATAGGACCTCTGAAACCCTTATGGCCACAACTAATTGTTTATATTATTGATTTAATCTTTCAGTTTCATAAAATTTGCCCATCATACTTTCTCACAGCCCATGTTAGCGTCTTTAGATTGCCTGTCTTGTCTGACCAAAAGTCCAAAGTCCAGAGATATTACATTTACAGTGATATTAAATAGAGAGTTGCTGTTTTGTTGTTGTTGTTGTTTTACATTGAAGTAGTGGGAACTAGCATATGTTTGGAATTTATCCTTGAAACATTTCCTGACTAGTCAATTAACTAAATATTTCAGCTCTTAAAAACTGCAAAGGAATTTGAACCACCTTTAATTGAATACATGCTATGGTTTTCTTACAACAGCTAAAAGTACAATGTGCTCCCAGTTTCTTAGATACAGCAGGTTGAAACTAATCTAGTGCAACACAACAGACCTGCCATCATGAAGGTAATAGTCAGTTTGAGATGAAACTGTGTTAGAGAGATGCTGATTCACCTCTAGGATCCTTTATGAGGTTGTTTTTATACAGAGGTACTTATTATGCTACGTCCAGGTGTATCAACACAACAAAAACTGAACAATATAACCTTTATTTATTGCGGGACTTTTGTGTTAGACTGTTTTAGCTAGATGTACCTAACAAACTGCTGACTGAGTACCTGAGAAACAACATTCACGCCTTAATAACAACTCTCTCCTGTTTCAGTCTGTCTCCATATCGTTCTGTCAGCTTGGTCACGGGCTGGAATGTGATTGGTTGCCTGTGCCGCTGCACCATTTGCTCTTTGGCTCACTGAAGGCCATGTGCTATGGATGCTGACTCATAGCAAAAAAAAAAAAAAAAAAGGAGGGGAAGAGTGTATGTGTTACTGTGTCTGTATTTTGAGACTTAGAAAATAAAGAGGAGTGTGGTTGCTGGATGCTGATTTGTTTGTGTGTGTGTGTTTGTGTGTGTGTGTCTGTGAGTGGTTGTGAGTGGTTGTCTGTTGTAGAGGCAGACAAGTACATGGCCATCTGTAAGCAGTTTAGCTACAAAAATAGGTCACACTCGTGCACCTAGAAGCCCTTTCTCCTTCGCTTTCTGTCTCTCTCGTTTTTCTTTATTCTCCTCCTGCGCTGTCAAGGTTTCGCCTTCTAATTATAGGTTTATTTTGCGCTCTCTCCATTGTCTTTCCGTCTGGCTGTGCTCCTTCTATCTCACTACCCCCCTTGCCTGCTGTTGCCATGGCTACCTTGCAGTGTGCTGGAATGCACACGGTGGCATTGGTTGCCAAGGTGACGAGATGCTCAAGTAGACCATTAGAAATCCACTGACTTTTGTGAGTTTTTGCGTGTGTACTGTACAATACGTGTGATGACTTTTTTTTCTCCCCCCCAAGTGGTAGAAATCAATAGCTGCCCGAGTGACTGGGAATTGGAACGGCAGCTGGATGGATTTCTCTGCGCCTCCAGCCATTTATAGATTCATACCTCAGCCAGATTATAATATGAACACCATGTTGCTGACATATATCTGTCACCAGAAGGACATCAATTATTAATTTGATTAATTTCCCCTCTTACACTCGCGCTATTTTAAGATTTTCATTACTCTAAAAATCTGCTGCCACAGGATATCAGATTAGATAACATCTACTCTAATTTGGAGTATGATTGCCACCGTACAGTTTCCATTAATCGGATCAATGCACACACAGCACTTCTGGCTCACAAACAAGGTAGCCTTTGTGCTGCAGGATAGGCAGCGCATGAATTAATCGCATCAGCTCAGTTCAGCAAGGGGATTTAATTTATGAAAATGCACAGGAGTGCCAGGTATGCTTATTGTATAATTTCTGAGGTCACGATGGGTTAAATTCAGACACAAATCACCCGAGCTTGTCACAATGCTTATGGATCTTGAATGCACTGACTAAAAATTGTATATATTGTAATTGTAATTGATTATTGTCTTTATTTTTTTTGTCAAACATTTTCAAGAAATAGCGGAAGACATCTATTTGAATTTCCTAGAGTGTAACACGGGATACTTAAATTGCTTGCTTATACGACCAACAGTCCAAAACCCATATGCTATATAACAAAGAAAGCCTAACAGACTCACATTTGCGATACTAGAATCAGCCACAAAAGGCATTTAAGTAACTGACTTTAGGTTAGACTTTACTGACATATCCACGAAATTAAGATGGAGAACAGGAGACAAATAATGTAGACAGAGACTTAAGTGAAGATGCAGTAACAACAGCATCTGCATTCATTTTCATGTCAAGTGTGTGTGTGTGTTGTCAAGATACATACATAAAATTCAGTTTCTTAAATCCTTAGACATGTCATTGCTCTAATATCTCTCCCTTTTCTACTTTTTTCCTCTCCATCCTTCTCCTGCCACCTTTTTCCTCTCTTTCTCTCCCAGCTAAGAATAGGCATCCATACAGGTTCGGTGCTGGCAGGCGTGGTCGGCGTTAAAATGCCACGTTATTGCCTGTTTGGGAACAACGTGACACTGGCCAGCAAGTTTGAATCAGGAAGCCATCCGAGGTGTATCAATGTTAGTCCCACAACTTATCAGTGAGTAATCAAACTTCACACTACATGCACATGTGTATACTCACAAAAACAGAGAAATTTGTCTTGTTTTGAACCATGCAATAGTGACATTTTTTAAGTTTTTCTACTCGACCAAAGCGGTTGATTTTGCGTGAGGATTCAGTCTTTTTGACATATGATTATGTGTACATCATTTACATCATCAACAATTTCCCTGAGGTACCCTACCAAAGGGATCAATAAAGTTCTATCTAATCTAATCTCATCTAATTTGAGGTAATAAAAACTCTGGCACCTTGTCTGACTTTGCTTTCTATTCCCACTGTGCATGTTTGTATGTCTTAATGACTAATTAGGTTTAGTGTGATGGATCCAAACAAAGCTATGTTATTACACAGATTAAGCAATAGATGTACAAACCCACACGTTACATGAATGCTTATTCTGGCAAACTGTGAGATGTTTATTTACTGAAGTATCTTTTTGCTTTGCCTGTTTCATGCTTCCTTTGTAGGACTCTTTAACAAAAGTTCTTCTGTTCTGCTCTCTTATCATCAGATTGTTGAAAGACGACCGCTCTTTTTCATTTGTCCCTCGTTCACGGCTGGAGCTCCCAGAAAACTTTCCCAAAGAGATCCCAGGGACGTGTTACTTCCTGGAGGCGGGGACATCCCACAGCCATGCTTCACTGACCAGCTCTCGCTCTGCTCCTCCGGCCTCTATGAGGAAAGTCTCCTACAGCATTGGGACCATGTTTCTAAGAGAAACAAGTTTGTAGATTCAATACGCACTAGGTTACACACAGATATTCATCATGTAAGCAGCTGGATTTGAACCCATGGAACATGCAGGAAACCAATTATACAGGTCTTTGGATATGCAAATGCATTATGTAAAAACTTCAGTTCAGACCTGTGGGATGACCTATATGAATGAAACTTCGAAAAACGCTTTCATCATAGGTAAAAAAGAACAACATGCCCTCATCTCCCCTGAGCGAGGGAGATATGGTTCAAAAGACTTACGGAACAGCAAGTGCGCTACTCTCACAAGGACCCTTCCCCAAGGAAGTGTACTGATGGAATCAATTAGCAGAGAAACCTTAATACAAAACTTAATGATCTAGCTGGATTCCTAAGCTCCAGACCTGGCATCTCTCCAGTGGTCCTCGCTCCCATATGGTGTCCTGACCTGGGTCGACGCAACGATGTTTGGAGAAAACCTGGAGAGAGGCCATACACATGACCAGTGTTGCACTCATTAGCAATGGAATTGCGCAAATAGAACAAATTCACTTTCCATTAACAATGTGGGTGCCGAGGGATGAAGTTGTGTGAATTTCCGGAAGATGGCACCAATGTTTGCTGTGCATCATGGCCTCTTGTACAAGGAAGACCACTAATGAAGAACAATACAGCTCCCGTTCGTCCCCTTGCAGCTGTCCCTGTATCATTTCATGCTTTACCAAACGTATTTCTAACATCAGCTGCTTGTTATATCTGACACCATCCACCTAGGACCAGTTGGTTGAGGGTGAGGAGAGATGAATCAGAGGCCCAAACAAGGAGATTTGAATTAAAAAGGGGTTCATCAACGGACAAATGCCTAAAACTGCTCGTACTAAGCTGATCTTAGAGTCTTGTCTGCTTGTAAACCACAGCAAACTATAACCAACAACAATCCAGCCATTTCATTGCAGGTAATATGTGTAGGACTGAAAATTATTCCCAGCTCAGTGCCTTTTTACTGCTCATATAAGGACAAATATAAGGTGGATTAAATTGAAATATTTGAAAAGAAGAAAAAAAAACAATAGGGAGCGCTTTTTTTATCTTGTGATTCCACTTGTTTTATGACATTTCTGTGCCATCAGTGAATAACCTGATAGAGGGAATAACGTGCCAAAGGTTAAAAGCCACATTTAAATCTGTGATGTTGCAAGTCACTTGGACTAGCGATTTGTTGTGTATTTTATTTGGTCACAAGTGGCAGGCAAGATAAATCAAACGCTCCTCAAAAATTTCAAATATTTGAATTCCTATTCACCTGCTTTTTTTTTTTTTGTCCGGATCCAATAATACACACAATATAGTGCTAATAATATAGCACTATGCTAACTTGTGCACATAGTCACAGTATGCACACTTGACACGGCTCACATTTACACACGTAATCTTTTTTAATCGCATTTATTTTTTACAACGCAGATATAAAAGTGTATACGAGCCCCGTGCAGATTTACCCAACATGATTTAGATCCAACTCTATTAGCTTGGTGGTAAACTCGGTAGGATTTGCTCAGTGAAAATCTCAGGCCTTCCAACAACTTCACCATAGCTCAGTCACCCAAACGTGGGAAAGTAGATTTTGTCCAAGAGCATCTTCATCGACTGTAATCATAAAGTGGGACGTGAAGCGTTGAAGCCGGATGGTCTGACTCGGCACGTTTGAGTATTAATTTACAATTATGTAAGTCACATGACGTCGCTGCCGTTGTTCTTCATCAGTGAAGTAAAAATCAGATATTAAGTACATGAAAGTTGGAATAGCTGTTTTGTAGGAGGCAGTATTTTCTGTGGAATATTACATTTTACATGTCCGTAGAAATGTTTTCATTATTATAAGAAACACACAGAGATTTGTCGACGTCACATGCTAAATTTAGCTCATTACTGATGGCCAAAATATTTTTAAAATTCAATTTGAATGAGTGGTACTAGCTGTGTGTGCTTCTTGGTGTAAAAAAAAAAAAAAAGTGTTTTCTATCTATGCTACAACAACATCACAATATGACTTTCAGTTACTGATGAAATAAACGGTCGATTAACTGCGCTTCAAAGGGGCGAAATACGTTTTGGAGATGATATCAGGTTGTAATTCACGTTTATATCACAAAACTCCACCAAGAATGGACGAGGAACGGCGTGTTGCAATTATTTCACTACATCTTGCCAAATGATTTACTGGTTGCTGGACCCCTTAAGGATCAAACAAAATGTGCCAATTTAATTCTGAGACACCTCCAAGCACAGGCTAATCTTGTGTTGTACGTGAAGGTTTGGTTCCTGCTGTCTGTTGTGTAGTTGTTAAAGTGCAGGATCAGTGCATATTGACATCCCACCAGCCCTGGCAGGGAGTCCGCAGTGTGCTTAGTTTGCCATGTAAACACAGATTGTTGAAAAGTCACCAGAAGTATAATTTACTTCACACACACAAAAACTAACGCTGATCTTGCCAAAAGTTTCACCCGTAAATGGGAATGCCCTCTAACACCAGCATAATAATATTTCTTAGTGGATGACAAGTCGTGGAGGAGGGAGGGGATAGCTAAGTCAAAAAGATTTCCTTCTGACCTGCCAGTTGTTGAAGTGGAGATGGGTTTGCCAAGTGCTAACAAACTTTGGTCATAGTTAATTATCACCTAAACAATTCTTCAGATGGCAGTAGCATTAGAAAGCTTGAAAAGCTTGCACGTTTACAGCATGTTCTGTAAAGGTTCCGGTAAATTTTTGGCAATGAAAATAGACAATTTTGCTAACAGAGAAAATGCAAGTATATTTTTGAGAATATTTTTTCCATGCACCCCACAGTCTTATTCACATTTACTGTAAACGAAAATACCTATAACCTATTTTCAAAATAGTTTTCTGTTGCTTAAGGTATACTATGCAGTATAGAACTAACAATGGACTAGACAAGAAACACATAGAGAGAAAAAAAACCCAATCAGTCAAACAAGGCAGCATAGTTTTTAGCCTAAAAAAGAAATATTAGGAATTGTAACACAAAGAAAATATGTGTATTAACCTGAAACTAGGTGCCATTGTTTAGGGCCGACCTTGTAATCTTAAGCCTAGAGAGTTTATCTACAGTATAAATTCATTTAAAGACAACTGGCAACTCAAAATGCTACACATTTTAGAAGAAAGCATAATGTTGTTCATGTCTTATTGCATTGTGGCAACAGAGCCAAAACTGTTCCTGAGACCTAAATGTCGATAAAATCCATGTTTTTTTTTTTGTGATATTACAGAGAACCAGAATCTGCAGCACCCACCGGTCACATCAGTAAAATATTTGTGTATCACTTTCTCAAAAGATTTGCACTTCGACATTGCTGTTTGTATAAATATCGTCACGTCTGTCCAAGAAAAGTAACGTTTTCTTGTTTGTTTGTTTTTGAAAATCATCACTTCAAGCTTCTTTAGCTCTATTGTACTCTAAAATCCATAAGCTTTCAAATATGCATAAGCTTTTTAGAGGCAAATTCAGCAGCCTAGAATCCATTGTTCCGGATAAACCAAGGAAATTGTTTATTTATTTAGCGTTTAGCAGACAGAAATGAAAATATATGAATTCCAAAAGTTGAAAACCAACCCAGTTTCGACTATAATATTACATAAACAAAAGAAAACAATCTTAACATCACCTATGGGGGCAGAAGAATCTCCATACAGACCCTACCACTGAACTGTATCCACCAACATAACATACTGAATTTACTGAGGGACCTTGCAAGATAGGTGAACCACTCTAGAGTGTATTTGAAAGTTGTGTTATTGTGGTTTTGCAGAGCCACATTTCACAATCAGATGCTCTCTGACTAACGCATACATGCTTTAACGTGTACTTGATCAGTCTATTGTAGCATAAATGTAGTGAAGGTTGTCGTCCACGCTTCACTTCAGCGGTGCCTAAATTCTGCTTCTAGGCTAAATAAAGGACATTACACCAGCGTTACACCCACACAACTTGTGTCCACAGCTCATGTCTCCAAGTCTGTAAATTCTTGGCATAATATTAGACGTTTGGCCAGATCTTACAAGCGCTCGCTGTTATGAGATGCAGAGGTGTTGCAGGTACTGGTTCTCTCCGGTGTGGTTGTCAGTCAGGGATTATTAGACTGCAGTGCAGACTGTAGGTGACTTACTCACACACAGACATACGTCACGGTCACAGTGGCAGTACGACTGAACTGTGCTGCGTAAGTTGTGTCAAATAATGAACAAATGTTGTCATGAGCCGAATACATCCACGATTCCAGCAGTCTGTGCGTGTCAGACAATATGAGATTATACTGGGTTTGGCAATGTACGATTTCATTTGTTACTAAACGCCGACTACCTGTAATAAGTCTGTACAATTTAGATCTATTTAATATATTCAATGAAAAATGGAAATTGTAATAAAATGATATCCTAGATTTTTTCAGTATAATTCCCAAAATGATTTGACATTTTCTCTGCTTTGTTGTCCTTTTTCTATTTCAGCCAGATGCTTTATGTCAGTCTGTGTGCCTCCTAAAGGCAGGCTGGTTTTCCCAACAGAACCTGAAGTAATATCTTTTTTTTTTTCTTTTTTTTTTTTACAAGAGTTAACAAAAAAAAAATGTAGACACTATTGTAATTTTTTCAATTCACGTCTTAGTTTGAAGGATTTTCTTTAATTATGAAACATTTCTGATTTAGCATGACACTGTCAATTTTTTAATTTTTTAAATTGAAAAAATAAAGTTGCTTAACATGTTTTTTCACAGGACATTATAAGTTATAAACTGTCTTGTTGCCAAGATCAACCTCATCCCTGCTGACTTTACAGTACGGGCTGATGGGAAACTGCTCCCTGTTTGTTCAACATGAGCCTGGTTTTAACAGCAGAAACAAACACGGTCGATGCTTGTCATGCATGTCCAGGGTCCACAAAAAACTTTTCAAAAACGCAGCTCCCTTAAAAGATGCGCATTACTCCACTCATCTCCGATCAACAAAACTTCACCCTTATGAGAATAGTAGCTTCCATAGCGTTTGTTCACCAGCTTATTTTACAAACTTATAAACTATTTGTGACATTTACCAATTTATCATTCCACTGGGATCTCTTTTTAGACCTCACTCTGGGAACCAGTGATTGATCATCACATTCACG